ATGGTATGTCCCCTCACCACAAACGACAACTGAGAGTCTTCCCTGGGATGTCCCCTCACCATAAATGACAACTGAGAGTCTTCCCTGGGATGTCCCCTCACCATGAATGGTAAATGAGAATCTTCCCTGGGAAAGTCCCCTCCCCATTAATAAGAGTCAGAAGTAATGAAACAGTAGCCTTACTATTTTCAGTTCTAAGAATTAAAACATATCCTTCACAATTTTCAGACATTCATGTAAGATCAGGGAAATCACAGTTGAAACAGTTGCACTATATCACAAAGAGTAAATTAATTAATTAACAAATGCCAAGATTTGACTCAATTTCTATCACAAGAAAGAGAACGTCAAGAGATTATTAGTAGTTCAAGTGAGATATCTGAGTTATCATCCAACACATGGAATTTTACTAAAAACAGTTGCTTAGAATATGTTATTTTATAGAACAATAACAATCATACTTTACTTTATACCTTTATTTTTCTGTCCATGAGCCACCCCTGGGTCTGGTTTAGGACGTAACTGGAATAGGAAAGAAAATTATCAGAAATTATCCTGAAAAAAAAACCCCTTAAAAAAACAACTGTTGTCATAAGCATTGTAATCGTTTTCTATGATGTTTTATAGATTATAAAAAAGTGAAACATATATTAAACCTATCTTCATTATTTATTCAACCAGTATATTAAATTAAATATATAAACTGCCACACTAAAAATATGAAAGCCACATTTTTCTTTATATTTTGTAGGGTTTTTTATATTGCATTCGAAAAAAAAACTACTAGATAAAATGGTTTGAAACTTCAGAATTACTTCCTACAGATTATGTAGTTTCTGTAAATAAAATATCATATTCTTAAACTTGATATTTGTAGGACTTCAAAGCTTTGAAGTTCCAAAAAGATTTCACCACGATACATTTTTTTTAAGAAGATTAAAAATGTTTATCTTTGCTGTAGATTTTAATTATTGACTCTTACGTCTTCCTACATTCTTTTAAAAACTTTCATATAAAGTTTTTATTTTATAGAAATGTAAATTTTACGAATGTTTTAATTTTAAAAAAAACAGGCACACGATTTCACTAGTTTACAATAACTAGTATAAAATAAATACTACTTTTTTTTACCATGCCAAAATTATAAACAAGCTGACTTTTATTTTACATTCATTTATCTATTTGTTTTTACATTTTGTTTCGGCGATTTTCTTTGTCTATTCAAACAGTTACTTCAGCTGTTATGGCCTAATGAAAATAAGGCCTAACATACAGTCTCGTCAGTAAAACGAAACTTCATATGGCTGAGTGCAAAATAAATTAACTAAGCCCATCTCATCTTGTTCCACAAAAAACATTTATTTTCCTACAATATTTCAAAATCATAATACAATGAGCTATCTGCTTTCTGTCTACTGCAGCGAAGTGAACCCCAGATTTTGGCACTAAGTCTGTAAGCTTACTGCTTACCCACTGGGGAGGGGAGTTGAGAAACAGTGATTGCCTGTAAAATCCATTAAACTGCACTTGTATATAACTTATAAGGATACATCAGTGCTATGTTGTTCAAGGTTATTGGTTTATGAGTATCATATTTATGCTCAACAATAACAACAAATATATTCTGGAAATTCTCAAACCATAATGATTTTTCTGGGAGAATGTTGAAATCAAACTTTGTGATTAGATAAATAAATTTTGTTATTGAATAAATTTTAACTCTGAAGTATTTAATTTTATTAAGTTTATTTGCTACAATTTTTCAAATTCAATAGTGCAATTTTGATTTTGAGGCAGACTACACCCATCCAGGTGTGAAAGAGTTAACACATTCAATGCCATGTGCTCCCCTACCAGTGGGTCACAGACAATTATATTTCAAAGCCAAATTTCTCTCTTGGCATACGAGTTTGGGACATTGTGACTGCCCCTCAGCACCTCTTGAATTTTCAATTTGTTTTATACTTAATCTGTTATGTGGCAGCAAATATGTTAAGTTACTAAATCTGCATATATGATGACTAGTCTGTCATCATATGTTACCAGAACTCAAGTTTAGCTGCAGTACACTCACAAAAAACAAAGAATGTTTTGTTAACGTCAGTCCAAATTAGAAGAGAAGGAAAAGTTCTATGTCTCTGATATTTACACGTTGTTGTCAACATATAATGCATGACAAAGGTTATTCTTAAATATAATTTCATTAATATATTTATTTTAAAAGTTCATCTCAAATCCCAACTTTCTCTTACCAATTACGTAGTTACATTATTGTAATTATTTGTGTCACTATATGTTTTCCTATCTCTCTTTATTTTGGAAGTTTACGTGGTACGAAAAGTTATATCTTTATTTGGACAAAATGTGTAACATGATTAACAATGAAAGTACACTACTAACACAATTTATCATGTTCATGTTATTAATCATGAAGTTCATATTAAAAAACAAAAACCTATGCTAATGTTACTATGTAAGGTCTACCAGGTGCTGGTGTATTCCTGGGTAAGTGCTAGTTTTTCTTTAAAGACTTTCTGTTTTAAAAAGTCATGAAAACTGATTTTAATCTGAAACTTATCTTTGGAAAAACTATAAATTTTTAAATTACTTTTACAAAAGTTTAATCTCTCCCATAGTTTCAGTTTGTAAGTGTTGTTGTTTTTATTCTTTTGTTCAAACATTGATACCTTTGTTACATTTTTTTCAATGGAAAAATTATAATTAACCTACATTCATATAAAGTCCTAGAAAAATTAGTGAGTGGAGTGCATGGGGTTATCCAACAAAGATAAAACAGCAAAATTTAAACCTTCTAAAAACTACTATTCAAGACACACATAGTGAAGATAATAGTACGAAAATAGTGGTTGGATGGCATATACTCTTATAAAGTGAGTGGACAGCATCCAACCTTGTGTCTTAACACTACATATATACATGTATATTTTATTCATCACATGCGTATAAAATCTTCTGGAATTTCTATGACAAAACAACGTAAGATATGCAATTAAAACAAAACTATAAACAAAACTACACAAGAACCAAATTCTCAAATGAACAATTTATTATTATATTTTTAATGCTCTAATTCTGTGACATTTACAGTAGGGCTAGTTAAAATTATGGTTTCACAAACTTACCTGTTTGCTAACAAAGAAAATGCAAATGAGAACAAATTGTGGATCTACTACTTTAGACAAAGAAAATATCTAACAAGTTGAAGATCACTAGTTTAAATTTGGTTGTTCTTAAATATAAAGAAATGTACCATTAGCAATCTACATGAACCTCTGTCACCTGTCCAACATTACATTCACAGATTGTTTTGTCAAACTACACTATTATTATTTTGCAGCAGCCTTTAGAACAGTAATTTTTTATTCTAATCTTAAAATATGAAAAAAAAAGTATAAATTTTGTAATCTCTGCTTGGAAAACTTGAAAAGTAGAGAATGGAAATTTAATGTATACCTTTGAAAGTTTACCCATAGTTAGTTTTCCTAATGCTTTTGATATTGTGTCGCCTAACTTTCCGTAAGTACCAAGATCGCTTACTCCACTGTTGTCACTCCTCTTCTTCGTGCAAGCTAGACAAGTAAAAAAACAGAAACTTCTAAACCTAATACAAAACTAGAGATCCTGAAAGACAGTTCTGTTAATAAAGCTTGAACTTTTGAAAATACAACATTATTTTAAAAGAGCATATTGATCTAAACCTCCTTTACTTTAAAAATATCACAATCAAAGACCAAGAGCAGTCAATTAAACAAAATTCTTCTGAAACCTGACAGGGTTACGATGTGATTTGCATCTCCAAAACACATAAACATTTTAAGAATCTTTTTATACTAGATCAAACACATACTTTTAAAGTATGTAGTGTCTCCACCCACACTGATGGTCACAAATAGTATTAAACCAATATTTCACTGTTCAATTTACACTGGTAAAATATTAGATTTAGATAG